CCCCACACACACACACATCCAGCCGGGTCATGCGGTGGTCTAGAACGTTCCTCGACGCAACAGCACGACCACCATGGACACCAGACCCCACATCAGTTTGCTCAAAGGACTCGTCACTGAAAATATAGCAAAGATTACATTATTACAGGTAAGTAATCGCTATATGCATGTGTATTATCCTGTTGAAGACATTATTATACCTTACCACGTTGAAAACATAATATATACGTTATCACGTTGAAGACATTATTATGTTGATGACATTATTATACGTTATCACGTTGAAGACTTTATTTTATATATAGACATTCTTATCATGTTGAAGACATTATTATACGTTATCACGTTGAAGACATTATTATACGTTATCACGTTGAAGACATTATTATAGGCCTACATTATCACGTTAGTGGCGTCGGTAGCCTAGTGGTTAGGTTGCCGGACTCGTAGTCATGAGATTGCGGGTTTATCGGTTCGAGCCTCAGCTCGGTCCGACGTTGTGTCCTTGGGAGAGACACTTTACTACACGAATTTCCCACTTGACTCGGTACTTTCGGAGACGGACGTTAAACTCGTAGGTCCCACCTCGTAAATAACCTAACAGTGTTGATAGTGGCGTTAAACCTATACCATCTCACCGTTTAAAAAAAGAAGACATTATTATACATTATTATATTGGAGACAGTATTGCACATTATCATGTTGAAGACATAAATATACGTTTTTATGTTGAAGAGATTATCATACATTATTATGTTGAAGAGATTATAATGCATTATCATGTTGAAGATATTGTTAATCGTTATTATGTTGAAGACTAATATATTCAATTGTATATCTGGTTAACAACCAACAGATGTTTTTCTTTTATACCTGCGTCTGTAATTTTACAAGCAACATTTTACTGACTAGACTCTAGCCAATCCTAGTTGTGGTTTAAAAAGCTGGAAATAGCCTTTCTTGTTTATCATCAAAATTCCTTAGTTTTCTGTTACAACGTGTGTCGGTTGCTACATGCTAACATTACTAACAACCAACAGATTAATTTTTTTCACAACCAGGGTCTGTATTTTTATAAATAAATTCAGGCTGTCTAGATTCTAGACAAGCCTAGTTGCTGTCAAAGAAGCTGAAACAGCCTTATTTTTTTGTAATTAAAATCTCCGTAGCGAGTATTTATGTCGCTTGTTACACTTTTGGAATTGGGCACAACCTGTTGATATTTGTGTCATGTACAGTAGTTGTAACAGCCAACAAAAGTTTTGTTTTACGACAAGGATGAGCTATTGTACAAACATGTTTGTACTGACTAGACGAAATTCAATCTTAGTTGCGTTATGAAATACTGGAAATTGTCTATTTTCATTTTCTTTTCTCATTCAAATTTCTTTACATGTAGATGTTATGTCGGTCGTTACACTTTCAGTATTGGATACAATTTGTTTATTTTTGTGTAGGTCTACTTGTAACAACTAATAAATGATTTATTTCTTCCATAACCTAGGTCTAAAAATTGTACTGACTAGACTATAGCCAAGCCTGGTTGTGATTTGAAAAACTGGAAGCAGCTCCCTTTTTTGTTATCCAAATTTCCTTAAAAAGCTGATGTGTTGGTCGTTACACTCAAGGAGTTGAAAATTGATTTTTTTTAGCGCATGTTTAGTTGTACTTACCAACACAAAAAATGTCTTTACAACCCGGCTCTGCGTTTTTACAAGCAATTTTATACCGAGTACATTCTAGCTAAGCCTGGTTGTCATCCAAGAAGCTGAAAAGCAGACCAATTTTTCTGTCATTCAAAGCTCTTAAGTAAGTTTTTATGTCGGTTGTTACACTTTTAGTGTTGAGTACGGTCTCTTTGTTTTTGTGTAGGTCTCGCTGTAGCAAATAAATAACAAGAACAGGCTTACATGTTGTTTTTGGCGACCCTGAGGCAGCCAATGGACGTGTGTCGTGAGACATACGTTTGGTCATAGCCTTTTTTAAAAATTCCAAGCTAGGACCTTACAATTGGACAATGGGTAAGTGAGTCGTGAGTTTCGACTCAAGAGTAAAGTCAAGCAGGTGTCGGTGACACGGGGATCAGATTGGTGGTCACGACAACCCTAGCTAAAAAAAAACAGCGGGGCCCTGCTCAGTGGCTACCAGCAATGACATGGTTGTGAAATTGTTCTATATTGGTGCAACAATATGTATTTATGTGTGTATATTATGTGTATGTATTTATGTTTATATGTATTTATAACTACTCCTTTGTGTATCATGTATGTATGTTTGCCATTGTAAACCAAATTGCCCTTCTGGGATCAATAAAGATGCGATTTGTTAATTTTTACTTTTGTACCTACTTGCTTTCAAGCTAATTCACAAACACATAAAAATACATAATCAAATGCGCGAACGGCACACGATGTATCTCATGAGGTCATTCGTATTGGGATTTCTTGATACCATCATCATCGGTACCACTATTATAGTGCGGTCAAAAAATGGTGAAGTAGCTTATCCTCAAATATCTCTTCATAGGGCGAATCAATGTACCTCATACTTTGCACTACCGGTTTGTATCAATTTATCATAACTTAATCATATGATATTTACAGCAGAACACCACGCAATCATCAGGCTGCGGGAAATGGGGATAGAGAGAGGCGAAGGAAGAAAGGAACGATTAAATGGAAAGGAAAGACGTCGCCATACTCAAACAGCCACATGAACAATCAGTATGGATACCTTGATGGCTCTAGTGCTGAGAGGAACTGAGCACTTATGGACCTGTCCGGTGTGCAATGACGTTGTTGCCCAAGACAAGTAAGTAAGTAATCATATTTTTCCACAAAAATGAGGCTAGATTAAAAAGGTTTTCTTCATAGATTTATATAAAACACTATAAATTAAATCTCCATTACACGAAAAATGGGATTGTTCACAGAACTTCATGCTTCTCACACACATTTTGCATACATATGCATATTGCCTACGTCACCGCTCACCAATGGGACATTTTAGTGGCAACACTTGTTACAAGAAATTAATTTTATAGTGAGAATATTTTTGCGATAAAGGTTCTCAAAACATGCGTTCAAAAAATATAATGTCGCGATTAGAAAAAAAAATGACAGACTTGCTTTAAAAGCGATATTGCACCAGCTGTAAACCGTTTGAAATTGGTAGAAACCACGTACTTAGTTGGTTTTTTATTAGCATACGTTGAGGAATTTTCTAGAATACAGCTAGCAGGTGTTTACAAAAATTGATATAAGTCATTGTGCAAAAGCTGGAGAGTCTGTTCTATAGTTTAGGAAATATTGGACAAAAGTTGTGCTACGAATTTCTCACCGTACCATAGAGTCTAGAAATCGAGACCTAAAACCTGGTGCAAATTTCCGTAACCAGTATGCGAGTGAATAATGTCATGGGGTTTTGCCACTGTGAAAAAAACAACAACCCACAAACCCTGTTCAAATCCCCCTCTCCCCGTTTTCAATTTCAAGACTCCCAGCCCTTTTGACAGACGTGTCTTAATCGGAGATTCGCAGATGGATATTCAGAGGTACTGTCTCTTAAGGGGGGGCTACACCTGAAGGCTATCTCGCTTATTACTAGACCGAATTTTACCACATTTCAAACATATAACAAGCATAGTAAGGAGTTTTAAAATCCGCTATCAAATTTGAGAGAAAAAAGTTTGTTTCCTTGGATACAGCGGCCATATTGGATTTTGTTGACATGTCTTACGTAATGAATACCGCACTTGTCGCTCATGGAAATTGATTGTTTTTTTGCATGCGTGTTAACAAACATTATATCTTTAAAAATCTCACACTCCAGAAACCACCCCCCCCCCCCCCCCCCCCCAAACCCCCCCCCAAATAACGTAACAGAGTTGCGTGGGGGGATAAAACCGCACACTTAGGGTCTCCAGTGGCTGATAAAGTAGTGAGTTTCAATTCTAGGAATGCCAAGCGGTGGCACAAGGATTGGGTGGGTGGTTACTGGGGTTTGTCCTTGAGCAAGACACGACAACCTTAGCTCAAAATACAGAGCGCTGCACAGTGGCGACCGACAATGGCATGGTTGTAAACTGTTCTATATTTATGTAAGATTGTGCATTTATGTGTGTATTTGTGCATGTATTTATGTATGTATATGTACGTATTTACAATTATGTATTTATGTATGTATGTATGTTGGCCACTGTAAACCAAAGTGCCCTTCAGAGACAAATAAAAGTGTAATTTATTTATCAATTTTATTATTTATTTTATTAATTTCCTCTTCTTTTTTGTAGATTTTTAAGTAGTCGATCGTTGCTTCTCGGGCCTTTCTGCAATAAAACACGTTTGCCATTTAAGTTTTGTTGATTTTGCCTGCCTGAGTTGCAGGATATGTCATGCCTTACCACAATGACTCATACATAATTTTTGTTTTACATTTTAGTGTAACATGCACGTAGCAAAATAGGTCGGACAAAGAAATAATTTCGTAATGTGTGAATTTCCACATTTGTGTTTTTTTAAAACAAAGAACTTGCACATGTATAAGAAAACATTCTGGACCTAAAAATCTGTTCTATATAATATGTGTGTTTCACTATATATTAGTATGGGTGTATAATACGTATATTATATTATTAATGTACACACAAAGTGACTTACCCGTTGCGCTGCCACGAGCTGAGAAGTAAAAAAGAAAAACAGATTTGAGCTTTAACACAGAAGAGTTTGACTGGTACACACCACACACAAATACAAACACACAAACACAAACAGGCTCAAAGCAAACACGCACAGACACATACACACACAGGCAGACACACACAGACACATAAAAACACAGACACATTCAGGTACACTCACAGACAGACAGACAGACAGACAGACAGACAGACAGACAGACAGACAGACAAACAGACAGACAGACAGACAGACAGACAGACAGACAGATAGACAGACAGACAGACAGGCAGACAAACAGATTTACATATTTACACACAGACACACACACACACACACACACACACACACACACACACACACACACACACACACATAGACACACACGCGCAGTTACACACGCACAGCCACATTCACACCCACAGACACACACACATACACAGATATACACTGATAAACACATACAGTGACACTCACAGACACGCACACAGACATGCACAAACACATAAATATACACACACACAGACGCACAGACACAGAGACACACGTACACACGTACACCCCCACCCCCTCCCCCACACGCTCACAAACACATACATATATACACACACAAACACACACACACACCCTTACACAGAAACACACACACACACACACACACACACACACACACACACTCATACACAGAAACACACGCACGCACAGGATACTTTACCTAAGTCATCTGCCACATCTTCGAAAGTGAAGTCACATGTGATACCTTGCTTTCTGAGTTCCTCGTCCATTTTCTCCTGAAAATAGACACGTAAAAGGGTTTAAGGATGTTCACTGTACTTTTTACCTTTTCCTTCCTCTGGTATCCTTAGGATATCGATGGGAGGTGTACAGACACAGTTCTTTCACTGGGCAAGACCGGCGGCGCCGGTCAGTTTTTGTCGGCTGTACATTGGACAAGAGATTGATTGCTGACGATAATTGTTATTTTGTTTCAAGTAAATACACATTCATATCTAATCAACGGTCAAAAAGCATTCGGCTTACTTGAGGGCGCTCTAAGAGACAATAGTGGTTCTCTGGTGTATTGTTGCACTACACAGACTCGTTCCGTCATCTTTGTTTATCACGCCGGCTCCTATGTAAATCGCCCCTGTCACAATGTGAAACTTCTCTGCGTGGGGTGCGAGGCCTTTCCGAACAGCGCCCACCCGGCGGTAACGTCAGCCTCAGGGCGAATTCAGCTTTTGACCAGAGAGCTAAAAAGACGGCTTCTAATTGCCAATTGGCCTCTCTGTTACTTACAAAAGAAGGACTAGTCTGCAGTACTAATACATTATTATTTTACCTAATTTCATCAGTTACTTCATCATTCAACCTGTCTCTTATTACTGCTTGTACTTCTATTGTTAGAATAATTATTACTATTGAGTTTTAAGCCATCCACGGTTCTGTTTTGTGTTCTCTTTGTCACCTATTTCCCGGAGTTACCTTACTTGGCCAGGACCCTGGACCGGCGATCCTTCGTTCCGCCCAGTAATGTTATAGAGGGAATTTTAACGAGGAGAGGGAAGCGCCCCGTTCGGCTGTCAGGGTCTGGGCCTAAAACAAGACACCCTCCTCCTCCCCCGCCCCTTTTCCCTTTCCCCCTATTCCCCTTTCCTCTTTTCCGCCTTCACCCCAGCTAGACTCAAATTTCTATAACTAGCATTTGACACAGTTCTCTAAAGAGCAGTGTTCTGAGAGCAGAGAAGAGAAGAGAAGAGAAAAACTTTTGAATTGTCGTGGGCTATTTTTTTTCAATGTGTATGTGGCTGTGTGTTTAGTAGGCTACAGTGTGCAGTATCTGGTTCTAGACTTCATCTACATGGGACAGCGTCATTGATAAGATATCAATTGTCAGCACACAGGTTTCCTATTTTTACATAGCGAGTGCACGTCGTGTCTTTTTTTTTTTTTTTTTTTAA